TCCTACAGTGTAGTTTCTTAGTGGGATTACAAAACATAGGCATCAATCCTGGAGAGCATTCTGTGTGAGTAGACCCCTGCACTCAGGCAGATCTCCATTACCTTAAAAGTGTTCACAAAAGGATGATGTTTCCCAGGGCTGGCTTTAGGCTGATTCGCCTGATTCCCTCAAATCGGGCCCCATGCCTAAGAGGGCCCCGCTCCCTAAAGCCAGAAGTGTACTGGCGTGCCAAGTGCACTGCGGGAGAGGGCATCGGCCCCAGAGGAGGAGCGTGGCGGCTTCTCCGTGCCGTGGGAGGGAGAGTTGGCCCCAGGGCTTGGTGGGAAGATGGGACTCTATTCCCCTGCGGGGGGGGGTTTTGAGGGGGGTTTTTTTTTTTTTTTTTTTTTTTTTTTTTTTTTTTTGTTCAACAAAAAATCTGGTTGCCGGGGCCCTGTCGAAACTGTTTGAATTGGACCCCGCACTTCCTAAAGCCGGCCCTGATATTTCCTATTGTCTATATTGCTGCACATACATTGTAAGCTCTCTGGGGCAGAGGCTGTCTCTTTGGTAAGTTTGCACAGTGCCTAGCACAATGGGATGCAGGTCTGTAGGTGCTATTGTAATACAACTCTAATATTAAGAATAATGGTTTCTTGCTAGTACAACATTTTGGACAGAATTGCACGAGACATTATGAACTGTAGAATTGGAGGATGAAGCCATCAGAAGCATGTAGTCCCCCAGAAAAAAACAAATCATGAAATGCATGGTTTGTTAGTGAATAAGTGCTTCCTCTCTCATACAAATTATGCTATCAATATTGAGTATCATTATTTATTTATCTGTATTTTATTAACACCCCCTACGTACTAGACACGTTACTATCCTCCATGAAGACACAGGAATAAAGTGTTTTCTTACTATGTGCTGCCACATATGATGAAGTGAGTAAACCAATCCATTTCTGAAAGGTGATAGAAAGCAAAGCAATACCCATAAACTAAACAAAATGACAACAGTAGGCAATAAAATCTAGCATGGGAGCCAGAAATGTGCACTTATCAAATGAGATTATTTTATTACTTCACCTGGTTAAAATGAATCTGATGGTCTTATCAGCAATTTATTTCTGTGGAGACAGCAATGTTCAAGCAGAAGAGTTCGGCTAACAACGAAACTTGGACAAGATCTTGGAGTACACCCGAACTGCAAAGAGGCAAAAGAAGATTGCAAATTTCAAATACAGCCATGCTTTCACACACACTTTCATACTGACCAGTGCATTTTAGTTCATGACACAATAGAATCATTATAAATATTGTCTCTGTGCATTATCACACTCTGATACAACACCCAGTTGTATGTGCAGTCATTGCTGCTGGAAAAAAGGTTTGGATTCAGTTTTTGGGAGGTTGAAAATTGGTTGTTTTTCCTGTTGTAATTTTTGTGTTGTGTATCCCACAAGGATAGTGGGTACTTTTTTTGTTTGTTAATCTTTATATGTGAATGTACAGCTATATTAAAAAAACTCAGCAGTTATATCCATGTGAAAGAATGCAGAGGCCAAAAGATAAATTGCATTTATCACACACTCTCTCCTCAACATAACTGCCCCATGATCCATCTTCCCTAGCATTTATTCTAATATTTCACCCCCTGGGCCGCGTCCCGCAATTTCCTTGTCTTAAATACAACAACAAAATCAGCTTGTCACCAAAATATGTATATTTTCCCTTAAATGTGAGCATTTCTGCAAAACCAGGTCAAAGCCCAGCACAGGCAGTATTCAGTCCTGGTTACAACAAATCAATGTAATCTCCCTCTATCTTGTGACTCTTCTGGGCCAGAAATGGGAGCCACATCCTTTTGGGGAGGGGAGATTCCCACCATTCCATTTGCTCCAGTTCTGAAAAAACGCAGTGACATTAAGAGAATAATATGGTACATGTGGAAGACTTAATTAAGGTCATTTGATGAGGTGTTTTGTTTTAGTATTTTCTCCTGCTGAGACCTTGGATTTCTAAGGTAAAACCCTGTCCTCACAACGTCAACAGGACTTTTGCCACTGACTTACATGAAGCCAGGGTTTTACTCCTAGTAACAAAGAAAGGCAGCTGGCTGCACAGGCAAAAGGATGCAAGAAATAGTCCCAATAGATTACTATAACACTCTCCAAGTATAGTTTCTGTGCAACTATTATAATTATTTTATATTTATATTATGGCAGCACCCAGAGGCCAGGATTGGTTGTGCTAAGCACTATAAAATCTGTGACCTATCTAGCTCAGAAAGTGGTGTGAGGAGGTAGAAACATTTGACACTTGAGTAACTGTACAATGTTAAGGGATGAGCTGGCACACATGTGTATAGCCTTAGATCATGCATAATCATAAATACCATGTGTCCACAAGGACTCTGACAAAACAAAAGACCTAAAGTATTGCAGTGTCTTACTTCTCCTATATTTTTACTTGAAGCATCTTTTATTAAACACTGCACCATTTAACAGCCACTCTGCTAGCGTGAGAAACTGAGCCTGAGTGTCAGAATTGGTGTGAAACAGATGTCACCCTTGTATTTTAAAAGGTTTAGTGCTTCTCCTGGGTTAAGCGAAGGAAGCAGGTGAGCCTATTTCCATTCATTATTTATCCATTTTGTGAAAGCAAATACTATCTAGCTCTTCAGAGTGAAGCTTTTCTCGTAACTGTAACATGCTGTCATTTATCCTCTGGGCAGATACTCATTACAGGGCTTGAGAAAAGCTTCATCTGTGACAACTGCAGCAAACAATAGCTTAAAGCAGGGGTTCTCAGTCAGAGCGATAGGGCTCCCCAGGAGGCTATGAACTGGTCTTAGAGGGGTCTGCCAAAATAAACCGCAGAGCAGGGCCATCGTTCAATCACTGGGGCCCAGGACAGAAAGCTGAATCTTGAGCCCTGCTCCTTGGGGCTGAAGTTGAAGCCCAAGCCCCACTCCTCAGGCTGAAGCCAGAATAACTTAGGATTTGTCTACATTAACCCCCATCTTGTCTGCAGTAAGGTTGGCGGGGGCTGCTCACCTGTTGACACCAACTACTCTTTTTGTCCTGGTGGATTAATGGAGTCGATGGGAGAGTACTCACAGATCAATTTATTGCATCTAAACAGGTGCAATAAATTGACGACCGGTGGATATATTGCTGTAGTGTCGATCCCAGTGTAGTTGGAGACAAGCCCGTAGGTTTATGGGCCCCCTGTAACATAAAGTGCTGGGCCATTGCTTTGCTTGCTACCCCCTTATGCCAGCATTGGCTTTTAATCTACAGAAAATCAGTTGTGGACATAGGTGGGCTGTGGAATTTTTATAGCATGTTGTGGGCAGGCCTCAGACGGGCAAAGACTCTGAGTCTTCTGGCTTAAAGGACAAGTAGGTCTTCACTGTCAATTCTTTCATAAGAACAGCCATACTGGGTCAGACCAACGGTCCATCTAGGCCACTATCCTCTCTGCTGACGGTGGCCAATACCAGATGCCCTAGAGGGAGGGAACACAGCAGGTAACCCTCACATGATCCCTCCCCTGTCACCCAAAATTAGATATTTTCAGTTTAACAAACTCAACTTCATTAGTTTACCTCAACATAATCGCCTAGTCATACTGACCTGGAACCTTCGACTCCTTCACCGCATTAGAATTCTAATGCTGAAATTATTTCTCTGTGGGGAGACAAATGGGTCATTCACTCTTAGTTCCATTTTCTCACCTGGAAATAACTTCTCTTCAAGTTTTCCAGTTGTTTAACAGTTGTGTGAACTTTTCCCCCCTTCCCAATCATTGGGATCTGGATCTTTATTCTCTTCTTTCGAACCCATAATTGTCCCCCTATCTTTCATATTTTTCAAATTGTCTTTTCTAATGGGAATTATTTTGGCCAGAAGAGTCAGAGAGCCATAAACCCTTATATCTAATACTCCCTTCTTAATTTTTAAATATAGTATTTCTGGGCTTTCACCAGTCATGTATATGGCAGCTGAATGATGGGACTTTTATAAAACTCTGGTGAGATTTCTTCAGTCATTTGGGGTGGGGGAGGGAATTGGGCAGGGTTGTTGGAACAAATCGAATAGTTAGCATACTGAGAGCCCTTGAATCAAACTGTAAGTCCTGTGCATGATGGAAAACACTTCAAGCCTTGGGTTGCACCCCAAACGCTCCTAATTGCAGCGCCTTATATTTCAGAGTGAATCCTTCCTCCACACGCACTTTATTCACTTGACAAGAGAAGCTCTAATTTATCTTTTCTGTATGGGACTGTGGCAAAAATAGATGTTGAAACTCAAAACTCAGCCTGGCAATACCTCTCATTGAAGAATAGTGCCTCTTCTTATCTTGAAAAAATGTTTTTAATTTACCAGAGTTAGTTTGTAATTGTATCCTGAACCTGTGCAATAGACAATTTTGTTCAATATATAGATACATACAATAAATATCAAGACATTAAAGAGTACCACTAATTAAGCATACACGTGTCAAAACAAACTCACCATAAGGGTCCAATCTTCTTCTTGACCTTGTCCAGTGTTGGCTTCAATGAAACTGTTGCTTTACACCAGTGGCAGCTGCTACCTGTTTGGATCTTAATTCACATCTGCTAGTGTTGACTCCTAGGTCAGTTTGGAAGTGTTTTGTTTGGTGGCGCAAGTTTATTAAGTAGTGGAAGCTAGATAAATTCAGACTAGCTAGACCATTAAATATCTGTGCCTTATTTCTAAGTAGCTATTGTGAAAATTTAGGTTGGATTGTGATGGATTCTCCATCATTGACAGTTTTTAAACCAAGATTAGATGTTTTTTCTAAAAGGCATGGTAAATGTCAAATAGGAATTAATTCAGGAAAGTCCTGTGGAATATGTAATACAGAAGGTTAGATTATATGAGGTCTGTGGTCCCTTCTGACCATATAATGCATGAATCAATCATTTACAAGGAGGAGTCATTTTGCACACCTTTCTAATTCTTTAAAATGTTCCCTTCTCTCTAGGCACTGTACGGATGTTCTGTGCTGTGTAATCTTCATAGTCGTCATTCTGGGTTACATTGCATTAGGAATTCTGGGTAAGTAAACACAGGTACACTAGTGGTATCTCTTGCAGGGGTGAATAAATAAGTGAGTCATTATTTTTAATTGAAAAGTCCATTTAGCTTTATAATCAACAAACAGTGTCTTTCCTAGAAGAAAATCATGAATGATCTGCTCAGATTAAATGTCTGTTATTATCAGGGAAAGGTTGAAAACAATGTGTTTATTTATGGAAAAACCCAAAGTAAAATATATTCAGGTAAAAATCCCATGGTTCATATTTTCCTGTCATAAACTATAATTGAGACAGGAAAATTCTGGCACTTGTTACTCGTCAAAACACAAATGCTAGAGAAAAATATTCCTTTTCTTAAGAGGTTTTGCATTCTTTAAAATATTAGAGAGAGAATCTATGGGAGCAATGAATGGAGCATGAAATGAGATTATTTCATTTAATTGTGGGACACAGAGAAGTTTGCTTCTCAGGATATTCCTTAGTGACCATTTTAGTTTGCTTGTCTGAAAGAACTTCACTGAGTGTCTAAATGAGTGAGGGCAAATGCCAACTACCATGAAAGTACTGTCACTGCATGTTTGCATATTTGGCTGAACTTAATTTCCTAATAAAAGGCCATATGGCCCTGGCTTGCACACAAAAAATGTAATTAATCTTTTAACTCCGTATTAGTATTTTCTCTGCAATACAAAGCCAAAGCCAAACTTGCTATATGTGGTGTCAGATGACAATAAGTACAGGCAGTCCCCGGGTTACATGGATCCGACTTACGTCGGATCCCTACTTACAAACGGGGTGAGGCAACTCCGCACTAGCTGCGCCACCCCCCCAGCAGACCGCCGAGACGCGCCGCGGTCCCGCCGCCCGCGTCCTCCGCAGCGAGAAAAGCCGCTCCGCGTGTCCCTGGTCTGCAGGACTGAGGGAAGTGAGGTGTGGAAGAATAAAACTGAGCTCTGGAGAAATGTTTGGCTAGAGTTTCCCCTACAATATGTACCAGTTCCGACTTACATACAAATTCAACTTAAGAACAAACCTACAGTCCCTATCTTGTACGTAACCCAGGGACTTCCTGTATGGCTGATTTTGCACAACTAGTAGAAATCAGTAAGAAAACAGGAATGTACATCAACTTCTCATTAGAATATACTACTGGCACAGCATCCCAAAAGTCATAATTTGTACTGTGTCTCATCAGCTCTCTCTCTCTCTCTCTCTCTCTCTCTCTCTCTCTCTCACTTCACCCTGTAGTATTTAAGCTAGTGGTGGGCAATAAAACAGCAGCAGTTCACCAGCATTAGCCCTTGGTGGGCCTCTACCGCTGTATTTATCTGCATCTCGGCTGATTCAAGCAATTGCAGCTCCCATTGGCCAGGAATGGCAATCCATGGCCACTGGGAGCTGTGATCTCTAGTACCTGTGGAGATGCAGGTAAATACGGCTGAATGGAACCCTGGCAGACCGGATCCAGCCCACAAGCCAGTATTTGGCCACTCCTGATTTAAACACTGAACAAATTTTCCTTCTTCTTGCTCCAGGTGCTCTTATGTATGTGTTATTTTTTCCTTTATTCACACATACATGTTGTCCTTTCATGGAACACCATGCTTTTAGTAAAGAGGAAAGGAAATAAAGTGAATATACTTGAAAGCAATAGCTCTCTAGGAGATCATTGCAGTTAAAAGTAGTACCACGCGCTGACCCCATAACAGGCAGCTGGGGTCTAGTGGATAGAGTATGATGCTGGCAAGCAGGAGACCCACATTCCACTAATGAGTGTCACTAAGTTGCAATGTCAGGCAAATACTGCAACTTCTCCGTGCCTCTGTTTCCCTGTGTGTAAAACTGAGAGAACACCTAGCTTTAAAGTGCTTTCAGATTTGTGGAAGAATAAATATCTGTATATTGGCAAAGTGTAAACTAATAAACTATTATTATAGGTCCTGTGCCTGTGTGCCATACATGGACCCAGTACTTTAATGAGTTCATTAGCTGTGGGGTTCTCCTTGGGGACAGTAGTGGGTATAAGATGAGGGAGAAGACTGTCACATTCAGATGAGTTTATCTTCAGTCCTTTGGCTTCCTTGCCTAGGTCAGACTCTGATGCTTGCCGGAACATCCTATTTTGGGATGGGGATCTGGCTGGTCTGTATCTGCTGCTGCTACTGGAATGTATATGAATGAAATTTTGCACATGCTCCTCTCCTCTCTGCTTCCTCTTTTGAGCCTGCTGTTTGTACTCTTTGCTATAGAATCATGCTACGATCAGAATCCCCACCCCACACTTTGATTGTCCATATCTCACTGGCATCTTGTTTCATTCCAGCTGATACCAGCACTCATTTGGCATGTGTGTGAGAGAGAGCGTGGGAAAGGGAAAAACTCCATTCCTAGTTGTAATAGGCATGAGGAGGAACAGTTGTCAGAGCGTGGCACAGTATGAGTTATCACCCATTGGGTCAGAAAATGGCAAAATGAGATGGCTTAGTCCTGGCTAGCAGCAGTATCAGCAGGACTGCACACTGCACTTGCAGACTGGCCAGGCTTCCCACCGGAAGCAGAAGTAAACCATATTTGGAATCTTTTAATTCCCTGCTCTTCTTCTAATGTTCTATCAGCTCTTCCTCCCATCTCCCCCTATGCATGCTCAGCTGATGTATTATTGTTTTGTTCTTGTCCTTCCTTCACCTCTCAAACATGCAACCTGAGTGGATGAACTGGGCTTAGATCATTGGAGCATTCCTTGTTCTCGTTAATATGTGAACAGTCCCCTGACAGGTGAGTGGCCCCTGCTCTGGATGTTGTGTCCAACAGAGTATTGGCACACTGATGAGCAGACAAAGAAAGGCAGAGGCAAATGCTGGCAATTTATAGTTATGCCGCATTCTTGTACATTTCTTGCCAGCCTAAACAATCTCCCTCTCACACTGCACAAATCTCTCTTAATCCTTTGGCTAGGCCTTTGTGGCAGCTTTGCATGTCCAGTTTCCAAACATCGAATTCTGCATAAAATAGGTTGCAGAAGCAGAGGGAAGCAAAAGATGAGTGATTAGCCAGATTCCTCTTTTCCCTGATTCTGTGGTCTCAAACAATAGGATCAGTGTGGTGTGTGATGGTGAATCTGTCCTTGGAATCCTATTAGGAAAAAAGCCTTCTAAACAAACCCTTAGGTATAAAACATTGAGTGGTTTGGAATCCTGCCCTGGATCCAGGTCCACATTTTGTGGCTGGCCACTATTTTTATCTGTGATGGGTGGATCCAAATTCTTGGATCTGAATACCCATAGTTCAGATCCAAATCTAGACCCTGCATGTGGGGTGCTTGTTTTTTCTTTGTTCTCAGTTTATGATTCATCCTACCTTTTACTCTCTCTCATTTTAAATTAAAGATGAAATCAGACAGGGTCCTGCTCCAAAGGCCAGTCCTGCTCAAAATGCATGAGGGTCAATAAAGTTCATCCTTTTGCCAGGTAAAGCCAATAGCAGCCAGGGATGGCTTCAACATCTAGGGGTTCCTCTCAATCAATCAAACACAACTGGTTCGACCTCCAACCCAGTGTGCCTCAGACCACCTCTGTGTGCCTCAGAAAGACAATGTTTCCCCACCCACAAGCACAGACTGAGCATAGAAAAGAGATTTTTAATAAAAGGGAGGGAAATAACTTAACATTTAATAAACAGGGTCCATAAATATAAATCACGAGTAACAGTCCCACCCCAAGTAGGTTGGGCAATGTCCTTTTCCTCTTAGGTTCTTAAGTCCTGCAATGTAAATGTCCCCTTCGCATGCCCAACCCTTCTCTGCTCCCCACACACAGTTACTGCCCTTGGTCAGTGTAGACCCAGAGTTCAGAGGTACATCCGCAGAGTTTGCCTCCCACCCTGGATGAGGGCAGATAAAGAGGCATCTTACTCACTCGGCTTGTCTCATGCTATCCACCTGTTTGCTGCTCTCTGGCGCCACTCTGCTGACCATTTGTCATGCTTTGCCACTGCTGCCCTGGTGGCTGCTTGTTGCACCACTGCTGCCCTGCTGGCTTTGTGTTGCATCACTCCAGTGCCACCCTGGCTGGCCTTTCATCACATCCCTCCGCCACTGCCCTGCTTTCTGTCAGTCACCATCCACTGCCATCTACTTATTGGCTGTGGCTTCTGCATATCAGTCTCCAATGATTGGTAACCATATTTTAGCTATCTCTGCATTTAATGCAAAGATAGCTGGTGTTGGGACACAAATTAAGTTGCTTACAATGAATAAAATTCCACTCCATTTGCTGAATATCTAAGAAATCTAAACAAAGCAGGAGCAAACTGTATTTGCATAGACACGCCCAGAGTCTCTTCCCCCTTCCAGCTAGCTGAAAGGGGAAAATCCCTCAGATCCTGCTTACATCATGAAGAGAAAATAGATTATAAATCAGTTCTTCATCTTGAGTTATGTCTTAAGGCTTATTATAGAAATAAAAAAGTCAATTTCCCTGGTGTCTTGCCTGGTGTCAGAATAGCGTCCTCATTTCACATGCCATTTGTCTGGCAGAGGTAAAAGTAAGGGGGTGCAGCCTGGTGTACAACTCTGGCAAAGCTTGGCTGAGTTGTGGTAAAAGCCATCAGGGAGCTATTTAAAGAGCTAGCAAGGACCTGGGTTGCAATAAGACAGTACGGCTATGTCTACATTGGCATCCCTTTCCGGAAAAGGGATGCTAATGAGACGAGTTGGAATTGCAAATCCGCGGGGGATTTAAATTTGCATTTACATGCCTGCCTCTTTTTTCCGGCTTGGGGATAAGCCGGAGAAAAGCGCCAGTCTAGACGCGATTCTCCAGAAAATAAGCCCTTTTCCGGAGGATTTCTTATTCCTACTTAAATCCCCCACGGATTTGAAATTCTGACTCTTCTCATTAGCATCCCTTTTCCGGAAAGGGATGCCAATGTAGACGTAGCCTACCTGTGAAAAATTTTTAGTTACTTTCACTGCTACACTAAAGGGAAGATAGCTCCACCTATCACTTGGAGCTGCTGCTG